CCCCAAAACCCCAAAACCCCAAAACCCCTTCTCTGCACAAAATCTTGAAATAAATAAATCTTTAAAATGGGTGGCTGCCAGAGTAGATCAAAGGTATGGCTTAAGGATTGGCTGGAGGAGACTGGGAAGAAGGGGAGTTTTGTGTGTGGAGGAGGGAGGGAAGGGAGTTTTGGGGGCTACTGGACTGGAAGGGGAGGAGAGGGAGGAGGGGGTATTGGGATGGGCTAGGGGGAATGGAGGTAGGGGTGGATTTTATGTGGTGTTCGGGTTGTGGAAGGGAGGTTTTGGGGTGAGGGGGTGAGGGGAGGAATGGAAGAATATTGGTTAGGAGGAAGAGATTGTTGATGTATTGATTTTTAGACTGATAAAGCGATTGTAAAGAACGAGCAAGCTATATCGAATTCGAAAGAAGAACATAAAGAAGTAAAACAAGTTCTGAAAAGGTAAATATTGAGAAGAAGTGAGATAAATGTAGATAGAGAAAATGTTAAAGAAGTGGTGTTGATTAAACTTAGGATATTTTAATGAATGTATCTAATAATACCTTTAGGCAAGAAGAAGCAAAGCCAGGTTAGTCCAAGTTGCATCATAGAATTACTCCATATTAACTTTATCTATATTCTATTCGTTCAAGATCATTCTTATCTTTTAGTGAGACCTCAAGCGCCAACAAAATAGCGAATCCAAACCCCACCATGTTACCTCTAAAGGACAACAGCAAACTGTAAGATTTGTCTCTACATGTCTGATTTGTTAAGGTCATCAAGAATGAAGGAATTCCAGGAGCCATTCCTCCAGAGCCAACACAGTTCGTCATGGAAATCAATGAAAGCTCTCAGCCAGCTCCAGCTAAGCCAGAGACACCCAGCGAAACAGTTGAGCACAGCAAACAGCCTGCTCCAGTTGAAAGCAATCCTGAACCAGCAGTCATCAAAGTTGAGGAAGACCACAAAGCAGAACAGTCGCCACCAGCACATCCCGAGCACAATGATGATGCACAACACAATCATGACGACCAACTCAAGCAAGAGTCGAAGCCAGAGTCTCCGAAAGCTGAATCTGACAAGTCTGACAAGCAGGACTCAGTACACGAACAAGAACATAAAGATGAGGGTAAGGAAGACAAGCCAGATGCTCAGTCTGAAGCAAAGTCAGATACTCCAGCTGATAAAGAGCAAAGTCAAAAGCAAGATGAGCCAGATGAACCAGAAGAGCTAGAAGAGAAGAAACAGGATGAGCCCGAAGAGTCGCATGAGGAGCCAAAAGAGGTCCCTCATGAAGCCTCTGACAAAGACCAGCATGAGGAACAACCACAGGATGAACAGCTTGATGCTTCACAAGAACCTGAACAGCCTGAGAAATCAGAAGATAAGCAAGACAAGCAAGAAGAACCAGATAATGAAGATGTGAATGAAGAAGCCAAGCAAGAACCAACTGAAGAACAACAAGAACCAGTCGAAGAACCAGCACATGAGTCAACAGAAGAACCAGCAGAAAGCAAACCTGCAGGTAAGATCTCGAAATTGGTCGACCTCTTTATTACCAGATTATTCAGCTTTGTGATGTCGATTGTTCTGGTGCTTATTCACCCATTTGCTTGCATAAACTGAACGATCGATAGTCCCTCAAATGATTCTTAAGCTGGTGTGATAACACTCTATCATTCAATTCATCTGTTGTCTGGCTGTATTGTTAGCAATAATGATATTCACATTTATAGCAGAAGACTCTCAGCAAGACCCAGCTCCTGAAGAACATGCTTCAGAGCAAGACCACAAGTCCGAGACTCATGAAGACAAACAACATGACTCTCATGATGAGGCTCAGGAAGCAGCACCAGATGAGTCTTCGCAAGCTGATGACAAACAAGATACTCAATCTCAAGCTCAAGATCAACAAAAATCTGAGTCTAATCATGAAGAGGACAAACATCAAGACCACAAACAAGCAGAGTCTTCTAAGGCTGGATCAGAGCACGGAGACCAACCCGAGGCATCCACTAAAAAGGTAGAAGACATTGAAGAGGTGCCCCAAAAGAACATAAGCAATACATCAGAGCCAGAGAGCAGGAACAAAGTGATATCATATGAAGAATCAACAAAGAAGGAAGCAGAGGAAGTAGGAGAGGCTCCTAAGGAAGCCGCTGTCGAAGAATAAGCAAACCATTGTACTCCTTAATAATTTATTCAGATGAGGTGAATCAATTTAAGCATACGTATATGGGGTTTTGGGGTTTTGGGGTTTTGGGGTTTTGGGGTTTTGGGGTTTTGGGG